CCAATGGAATTTTGTTAACCATACATACAAAAAACTACAAAACTTATGAACTGCAATCATCCCTCAGATGAAGAAGCAAATGATGCACTCTTTAGCTAACCTAGCCGAAAACCTGTTCAGATGTAGCTGTGAATGCACAGTTCAGAACCCTATTTGAAAATCACTTTCCAACTTATAGAGATGGGTCCAAATCTGAGCCCTGGATGCAAACAACCCTGATGTTCTGGAAAGTTATGAGCTCTTTGTGGTTCAGACTCATCTTTTGTTGTAGAACAAATGGGGCAGGGATTTTTATTTCTCACTGTGGAGAGACATGTCGGCTCAAATCACATTAAAAATAAATCGTTTTGTTCCAAACTGGATATTTGAAGAAATGAGGTGGAAAACACATAGAGTTATTCTAAAATCTGGGAATTGTTCGTTATAGGGAGGAACTTTGTTTTATTTTACAAATTTAACAAGTCTTAATTATCCAAGAGAAATTATATTTCAAGAAACATGTGTTTTGAAATCATTTTCTAGGGTTAGATTGTATTAAATAATCCAAATAGCTCTCTCCACCCCTAAACTAGTAAAAAATTTCTTGGGTGTCCTTCCCATCCCTTTATGAGCAGACGTCATTGAACTTCACAGTAAAGGACCCTCCAGACAACTGCTGATAAACCTCCAGATGATTTGTTCCAGGTGATTCATTCATCTCAGAACTACAAAGGGAAGAACTACACAGACAAAACATTTATTACTGAAAGTAAAAGCAATACTGACCTGGTAAAACAGTTCCTCCCATGCTTTTAAGGATGCACTTCCAGATAAGAATCCACTTTAAATACACTGTAGGTCAGAGTGAATGAAGGTGTAAGTAATAGTGTAAGTTACAGAAACTAACAATAATAATGAATAATGCTTTGCTCTTATACAGCATTCTATCCACAGCAAATTCGAACTGGAAACTCTGTTTCTTGAAGTCTTTATATATTATCTAGACATCTTTCTAAAAGATTCTGTCGTTCAACCAGAAGTTATAGGCTTGGCACAGGATCTGTTGTATGAAATTCTTGGGCTTATTTTGCATAGGAGGTCAGGCTAGATGATCAGAATGGTTCCTTTTAGCATTAAAGTCTGTGATTCTCAAAGTACTTTTGAGCTGGATTGAGTATCATTACAGATAAACACTTCATTCAAAGATCTTGGCTCCTCTGACACTGGGTGAATGCGTGGAAGAGCTCACACTGTTATTACTTGTGCTAGGGAAAATTAAGCTCTGAGTTATTCTACAGAACTCATGATCAAACTTACAAAATTCATTACAAAAATTATATTGAATTCCAGAAAAAGGAATGCTCAAAGAGCCAATGCTTGGGTTAACCTAATAAGTGCTGGAATGTAGACTTTGATACCATACAGGGAGAGAGGAGTCATGCAGAATTCCCACTGTGTTTTTTGTAAATATTATGTGATCACCTTGAATGTTTGACTTGGTCCGATACAGCGAATGTTAGTAAAAAAAAAAAGTCAATGACCCAAGTTATTACTCACATTTTGAATAATATGCTACAGGTTAGACTGGCTATTTTTGTGCACACTTTCTGGGGTATCAGATATTTTGGGAAGAAAGAATCAGGTTTCTTTAAAGATACCTTCTGGGACTTGAAATAAACCACTTGCCCACCTTTGTGTATCTTGAAGTACACAGTTACAATTGTATGGGCAGTGTGTGTGTTTTGCTGCTATTGGGTAGGAATCCGCCTCTGCCCTGCAAGTCCTAGTATTTCAGGGGCAATGTTGTACGAATATTTTGAAATGCTGTGAAATAAATGGTGCTAAATTAACAGTGTTGTCATGGCAGATACCAAAGGCATGGGGGAAAGAAGTACTTCCACTATATTTTGTATCATTTCCTTTTAGGATGAATCAGTGCAGCCATTAATGCAGCCAAGCAAAATCCATGTCCTAATCTTGGTACTTCATGGAGGAAACATCCTGGATACAGGAAGTGGTGACCAGAATTCTAAACAAGGAGATGTCAATACTATCACAACAGTGTTTGACACGGTCATGAGGGTGCATTACCCAGCTGCTCTTGGACACATTGCAATCAAGCTAGTCCCTTGCCCAGCCATCTGCTCAGAAGCCTTTTCACTGGTATCCAAGTAAGTTAGTGCTCCTTTACCTTGGAGTTGAGTACATTTGTAAGTTTTCTTCCTGTTGTGCATCTATAATCAGTATTGGTGGGGTATGCTCTGTACTGGATGTGGGTGCTGATTATTGAGGAGAGTGCACTTTATTAATAAACCAGCCTCAATTTCATACATAGCTGTAATGATTGCAATAGCAATGCAGCCAGAGTTCTGCAATTCAGTTATTTAAACGAATCAGATAAGTATTTAAATTTGAATTTACAGAGTTATTGTGCAGGGGTCATTCTGACTGTATGTGTTCTCTGAAGGTTTAGGTTTAAAGAAGGAAGAAATGTGTTTACCCCTCCCTCAGGGCAGCAAGAAAACATGCAGCTTTTGTACTTTGAGGGTATTTTATGATATGAAACTGATTGTGTGGGCTGCAGATGGTGAACTCAACGCAAGCCTGTCTCTTTCCTTTCCTTTCCTTTCCTTATATTCAGCCTCAGCCCCTACAGTTATGATGAAGGTTGCCTCTCTAACAGTCAGGATCACATTCCACTCGCTGCACTTCCTTTGCTAGCAACATCATCCCCACAGTATCAAGAGGCGGTAGCCACGGTGATTTTGAGAGCCAATCAAGCCTATAGCGAGTTCATTAAATCACAAGAAGGCACATCATTCACTGGCCAGGTGAGTAAGCTGCTACTGTTTTTAGTAACAATAAAATGAAGAGCAAGCAAGAGTCCCTCTGAATCTCTGTTTTTATTAATCTCTTGAAAGAGCTGGAAGTTTGTCAGTGCTGGCCTAGTTTATTAAAATGTTTTCTTGGGTTTTTCGTTTTGTTTTTAAGATAAAGATTTTCCCTTATTTTACATTGTTATTATTGGAGACTAATGTTCATAAGCAGAAAATGCAAATTAGAGCTAAAAAATTAGCTATAAAAACTTGAAGTTTAAACATAAGACCCCTTCGGTGTGATATATATCTCCAAATGAGGTGTAAGAAATGCTCTTTATCTGTTTTAAGTATTCATCTGGTCCCTATTACCATAACATCTGAGATCCTCACAATCATTAATGTATTTATCCTCATAAAAGCCCGAGCAGTAGGCCAGTGCTATTATCCCCATGTTACAGATGGGGAACTGAGGCATGGAGAGGCAATGTGACTTGCCCATTGTTGCACAGGAAGGTTGTGAGAAGAGAATTGATTCTGGGCTTCCTGAAAACCATCATGGTGCTCTAACCATGGGAATGTCCTTCCTCTCCATGTATGACAAGTGCTTCTGCCTATCCTCAGCATTTATAGTCAAGAAATTCACAACTTCCCATATGGAAAGAAATTATCTCAGCTCCCTCCTCAAGCCAGAACTGCTCCATAGCTGGAAACCTTCCAAGGTAGCTAACAGCCTGATAGAGAGGAACTGCGGATCCAGAAGTCACTCGTCTGAGACGTGATGGCCAATAATTCTATAACAGCTTGGGCTAGCTAGAGCTCCTGGGCAGATATTATCTGATTAAGCAGTGATGCCGATAAATACATTAAGAATCTCATGTTACCCATTTTCTGGGTTCCGTTTCTTTAGTCCTTTGGCCAGTATTTCTGTGAATTCAAAGTGAGGGGGATTATTTGGAGTTTTTTTCCCATCTCTGGTTGCTCTTTCAGGTCTGTTTGGTAGGGGACTGTGTAGGAGGAATCCTAGGATTTGATGCCTTGTGTTACAGCAATCAGACTGTGTCTGAGAGCCAAAACAGCAGCCGACGAGGGAGTGTTGTGAGTGTGCAGGTAATGTAGCCTACCAGAAACCAGTCATTATAGCCCTGTTAACCACAGAACTTCCCAGTGTGCCCCTGGTTTTAGGCGAAAGGGGTGGTTCCACCTTTAACCTTTCCCCACTCTACCTCCAGTAATCCCCCAAATGTCGTAATATCAGCAATAGTTACCATTGCTAAACCACTTGACAAAATATAAGGACGCATTTTAAAAAACACAGACTATGTCTAACTTATTTAGGGCTTTCATCAGAAAAAATAAAGCTCCGTTTTCCAGTTTCATGAATGGTATTAGCACATTGGAGGTGTGTGCTTGTGTCACCACTGTTGAGGTTGGCTTTGCCCAACCCTGCCATGTTTTATTGTTTTGTATTGTAGGCCAGCTTGGTAGCTATAGTTGTTCATGTCCTTTTTACGCTTTTTTGTTGTACCATTAGGTAAGTAAAATAGAAAAAATTCAGGATTGCACCTAGATAGGGAAGGTGTGTTAGGAAATTGAGATATTTTTGAGCTGGAACAAATGAGGAGGCAGTGAAATTATTTGAAGAGAGAGGGTCTGATGTGGTTGCACTTCCGACTCAGCTATCTGATGCATAGGCCTGTGTACTTCAAATCCTAGGACACTGACCTCTTGTCTCCTGGAATAATTGTGAACAATAGTTACTGTTCCAGTGGCTCCAGGCTGGAGGCCAGCCGACACCTCAGCAGAAGCAACATTGATATTCCTCGTAGCAATGGAGAGGATCCAAAGAAGCAACTGCCTCGGAAAAGGAGTGATTCATCAACCTATGAAATAGACACAATAAAGCAACACCAGGCATTCCTTTCAAGGTAAGGCTTCAAAGGAACAGTGAGTCAGGAGTCCTTGGGGGCAAGAGAGGCAGCTATGGGCAGTTTTAATGTTGGTTTGTAACCCTGGGGAGGGCAAGGATGAGGAATGTTGTTGAAGAATATCAGATGTGTTCAGATTCCATTTGCAAGTGTGGACTTTACAGAGGAATTTCCAGCAGCATTGTTTGTTGCTGTGTGATTCTGAGGACAAAATGAAACATGAGCTGCTGCTATGCTGCACCCATGTTACTTGAGGAGGGCAGGGAACAGCTGCATAAGAGTAGCATCAGGTTGGTTTGGTTTGGTTTGGTTTGGTTTGGTTTGGGTTTTTTGCCATGTTACATGCAGCAGGATGGAGGATCCCTGAACAATGAGCTACTTTAAGTCTGGATATGAACACTAATCCTGGACCCTTTCCAGATACCCAGGATCCTTCCCTATCCTTCTTGAGTCACAAGTCCAGGTAATGGTCTCTGGCTTCCAGACCATGGGGTTTGGAATGTTCTAAGCACAGCTCCAGAGAGTAGGGTTGCCAGATGGTTTCACCAAAAATACCAGACACCCTCCTCCCCCCCCTCCAAAAAAAAAAAAGCGCCGGGAAATTTTTGTTGACCAAAGAAAAGTACCCCGGAAACATGTTGTTGAGCCAAAAAAGAAGAAAGTGCGCTGGGCTACTGAAATTTCATTGCCAGGCCGCTCCCCTTGCCATTCCCCTCTCATCCCCGCCACGTGTCCATTGGGTACGAAGCCGAGAAAAGCAGAAAATACTGGACATTTTATGTGTCCAGTATTTTCTCAATTTCTTTACCACACAGAAGGCAAAAATACCGGGCTGTCCAGTTCAATACCGGACACCTGCCAACCCTACTAGAGGGTCCCCAGAATTTCTCTGCTTTGTCCAGTACTGACCCTGACCCTGTTTAAGGAGCAGCGTTGACTGGCTCTGAAGGGTGATTCCAACCAAGCATTCTTGCCTGGAGTTGGATGGCAGCAGTCTAGGGCTTCACATGTCAACCCTGGAGATGAGGGATTTTTCGGAACTCTCCACAGTGAAACCCTTGGAGAGGAACTGGAGATGAGATGAGCGTGGATCCTAAAAGAACAGAATCCCAGGCATTAAAGAAGGAAAAGACCAATTCAGTCCCATCCAGTATGTCTCTAGTTAGTGCAGAAGTGTCCTTTATAGGTTACCAGATTCAGGAAAGACACAGTTTGCTGTGAGGAAGGTTTTTATTCTTGCTCGTCTTGCCTGAATTTTCACTTTCAGGAAATATTTTTTCCTGAATCCCTTAGTGCACAGACCCAGTCAGAAGTATGTTTCATATTTATTCTTTTGCCCACACATATTGCTAATACCACCTCTGCTGTTAACCACCTTCTCCAAGTCAATGTGTATCCCTTACTGAGCATGGAGCCTGTTCAAGTACATCAAAAGTTTGTTTCGGTTTCTTCTTATATATTTATAATGAGGCTCATAAGTAGCATAATACTGAACTTTTTAAATGGTTCTCTAAATAATCAATTTATTATTTTTGATTGAATTACTTTCCTACAGGAAAGTCCTATTACCACTTAGATCTGGGGTGGGCAAAAATTTTTGGTGGGAGGCCACTCCAAGCTTTTGGACAGTGGTCAAGGGTTGCATTTTTCTGTGGAGGAGGTTGCAAGGTCTAGGGTGGGGGTTCGGTGCAGAAGGGCTCGTGGAGTAAAGGACTGGGGTACAGGAGATGGGGGGAGGTGCGAGTGGGAATTTGCATGAAGGAGGGGGTTGTGATCTGGGTGAGTGGATTGGGGTATAGGGTCGGGGGGGGTTGGGTGCAGGAGAGGATTCTGGCCTGGAGGAGGGGCTCTAGGAGGAGGTGCAGGGCCTGGGAGAAAGTTGTGACCTGGGGCAGGCAGATGCAGAGGGTTTGGATGGTGACCAAGGGGAGGGAGTTGGGATGCAGGAGGGGTTGGGGTGCCAGAGGCAGGCTCTAACTGGGAGATGCTTACCCAAGCCAGCAGCCCGGCAGCACCCCCAAGGCAGGCTGGGCTCCCTGCCTGCTGCATTCCCAGGTCATTTTAAACTGCAGGCTTGTTCCCTCCATGTGGCTCTCAGCTCCAGGAAGGGAAAG